CACCATTTCAAAGTTTGAATTCACAAGTAATTTGTTTCCTACTGGCAATTTCTTGAAATCAGACAGGGTTGTAATTTTTGGCCTCGAAGAATTCATCAGTGATGAATCTAAGTAATCGATTGAGGATTACGGTCGTTTCTAGTGTGTTAAGGATCCACAAAGAGTATATTTGTACTACGAGGACTTGTGAGAATAACCCACATAGAAATCATTTCCTTAGTTCCTCCTGAGACCACTCCGATACCACAGAACTGACTCCGAGCGATGAAGGACTTGGTTAGTCTGAGCAATGTCGGCGAGGGATTCGATCCCTGGGCATACGAGATGCATAATAGTAGCAAGGCTTGTACCGAGCGCCGTTTCTTTGATACATTTCCTCATCTTTGAGTGGCTTCATGGCCCTTAAGATCATTTTGGTTGTCTTACCCTACGCATGGACACACGATATTCCTTCCCACACCCTCTGCATGCGATATGCTCAACGATATTCAAGGAGCATTCTGATAACAAAATAATCGCTCTTTAATCTCACGATTAAGTAAGAATCAAGCATTTCGGGGCCGAAAGAGCTCCCGTAGTCCAGTAACTACCGTAATCGGCCATTGGTAGCTGTGTAAACGCCTCCATCGTATCCCCTTGGGATGGTTGACTCTACGACGCGATATACTGCTCATCTTCGTTCATTCGCCATCAACGCCTTCGTCATAGCTCCCATCAGCATTCTGTAGCGATTCATTTAATTTTGCGATGCTCGATATACGAATATACCAGTTCATTTCTACCCATATGGCTAGATATAGATTGAGAACACCTGTGCTACTTCATTGGATCTTTCAATTCTATTAGTCCTATTACAACTCGCAAAGCCTTGAATAATAAGCATTCATTACAGATTAATTTCAACCGCTCCAGATTACAAAGGAGGATCATTCAATCAAGAAATCACCAGAATGTTCGCTTCCATTGACGCTTTACTATGCTCGAATCGAGGAACAGCTCCAGACACTCCTCTAAACTACTGCATCGATGATGGTATGAACAATTCAGTTTTACATGATTAGATCAAATGGTTTAGGGGTTCTAATTTGATCTGGGTCCGTCTTAGCAAAGTATGATTTTGACTCAGAACTTCATGCACAATGAATTGAATCGGCTATGCTCTCTGATCGGAGCGTATCTGAACAAAATGACTCGTTCTACAGCAATCACATCACATCCAGCTGCTCCAAATGTTAGTGAAGAGAGTTCTTCGCCTTCACGGGAACGTTTTGAATTAGACAAATAGATTTCTTCCTCAAGAGTTGACCAGCTCTCGAAATAGAGTGCTGTCCGTAACTTCTTTCCCGCTCTCACCAAACGCACTGTTGGACGTTGTTATCAGTAGATATGAGAAGCGATGCATTTACGTCACTTGCAGGCGGAAGCATCAGTGGCTGGATCCATCAGAAGGGGCTAACCGGCTGTGAGATCAGGTTTTCCATCTGGAAGACCATGATGTCTATCTGGTGGGGTATTCGCTGAGTATATCACAGTGAACCCCTTCTCCACAACTCCGTGATTACGAGCGAGGTCTGCTGTAGTCAGACACTCAGATAAGAACATTGAAGTAAAGCTCAAAGCTAACCTCTTCAGAACTCGACAGACAAAGACAAAGTATACCTATTCCACATGTCTCGGAGACGACACAGCTCGAGTCCTGGGATTCGGTTGGGGAACTCTACCACACGCTTCACGTAGCCCGGATATGACCCCTTCCGAATGCCTTCTATTTCTGCCCCTTGGCAGCCATCTTACGGGCAAGTAATACGAACCCCACGAAAATCTCAAAGTGACCTCGCTCTCTTTCTCAGCTGAATACCGCAGGACTTCTAGGGACGAGACATTCACTTTCTACCTAGTAGTAGTGACGGTACAAATGATGCACATTGATGTTGCATTTGTTTCGAAATTAAGCTGAATAAAAAATCGAAAATGGTACGAACTTTTGAAGTAACCTAATATAATATGTTGCGAATCGCGTTTTGAGAAGACGCTCAGATTCTTTGTTTTCTCATTGCCTATTTCATGGGAGGCAAGACCCAGTTATATCAAACGTGAAGGAGGATGGCGGTACCTCACCAAAACCAATTAAGCGTTCAGATTAGGAGAACCCTAACCCTTAAAACTCCTAGTTATAAAGCTATCAGGCCTCTGCCCATTATGAGCTCTAATTTTGAAATCTCTCACTATTTTTCTGATTAAGCATAGCAAGTATGATACATTACATATAGTAACCCCACATGCCCAAGCAGGACGTCCCATACCCAAACCTCGGTAAAGTCATGGAGGCTGTAGAATAACTTAGTGTTAGGAGTCATTTTACTTACTACCATTGACATTTAAGGTAAACTCCGAAGATCACCCCAATGCAGCGATACCACTCCTCACGTTACTCCACACTATCAGTCACCTGTACCACTCTCTTCAGCGACTTCCTGCACTACCGTACCCCATGCAAACAGTTCAACGCCTGGTGAGTAGAAAATTAGCTATTTACAAGCCATCGAATAATGCCTTCACTTTTCTAGCGTCTTCACCTCTTTTCTCGATCACATCAAATTTCCCCATCGATCGGCTACAGTATCCACTCCTTGCACCAACCGTACCACTACTGTACGACCAGTTGGCACTAACTTGTACGCTGACTTTTCGGAAGGTGTTTTTAGAAAATTGAAAAGCCTCACACGAGAGTATTTCAGTGGGAGCATGGCAGACGTGGGGTAAAATGCGACGTCCCCGTACCGCATTCACCAGCGAGCAGCTTATCGAACTGGAGCGTCAATTTGGTGAGAACAAGTACCTAAGTCGACCCAGACGTTACCAATTGGCACAGGAACTCTGTCTCACTGAAACGCAGGTAAACTCGATCCCATAAAACCGATATTTTCACTTGTACTATAAACAACTCTGAACATCTGTAAATGGCTACAAAAGACGCGAGAAGCCAAGAATGGTAGCTAAGGATAAACCGTGGGCCAAATGGGTACGAACTTAGCCATCTTCAATGGAATGCGCCAGCCAACTGTACCGCCTGCCTTAGCAGCTCTTAGATATAAATTGAATATATGCCACTTTTAACCTTAACGAGGATAAAAGCCTGACTCTGGTTCAATATCGCTTCCTATCAGCGCGATCGCCACGACTTCAACAGATTACCAACACGGCTTCTATTATATTGTACACTAAACGATTTTAAAACTCAAATAGGTCAGGGAATGCAAACACAACTTTACTCTTTCGTAGTCTACTGGGTGAGGTAATTAAAGGTAAAAAGTAAGGCAGCTTAGAACATCAGTATACTGACTAATGCTTTTGAAGGAGACCTTAGCGGAACGATATGAAAACGGTGACTTCTAAGACAGAACTGAAAGAATAGCATGGATCAGAAATGAGTAATCAACCTATTTCAGGTAAAGATCTGGTTTCAAAATCGTCGCATGAAGAACAAAC